AGCCACCCAGGTGCCCCGATCAGCCTTACTTCTTAAATGCAATTTTCTTTTAAGGTTTGAGTAAAAAACAAAACAAAACAAACGCACAGCTCTTCTCTTACCATTGCAAAAAGTATGTAACAAACACTATCCAGGAAAAGGTTTTTATTTGTATGACACATATACTATTGATTAAAGAAGTTGAAGTTCATGAGTTTTGTTATATATCACTGTGTTTTAGTTTCCCCTCACTGATAGCAACCCCCTTTTGCATGGTTGGCTGCCTGGAAGGCCGAACATTCTTGCACATACATGATGGCTTAGTGAAGATTTTCTGCTCTGGAACTGTGACTAGATCTTTGCCTTCCAGAAGAAGCTTGATTTTCAACCTTCACTTGAACTTCAGTTGTATCTGTTTCTTCAGCCAGGTCTTCTGACCTCCTTAGGGACCATCCTCACTCCTGGGGCAGACCAGCTTACTGAAAGCCATTTCTCCAGAAAAATTGCTGAATGGCTGATTCATTCAAAGCCACTTTAGCAAATGTGTGTGTGTGTGGCAGATTAGTGCAGTCCAGTCCCATGAAGTACCTGAATGTATGAAGGCCAGTGAGAAGGTGGATCTGTGGTGACAAAATATTGGGCACCTAAATCTACTAAGCACCACTTCTTTTCAATACTGTGGGAGAGCTTAGCTCAGAGAGCTTGTCCAAGATCACACAGCTTAGCAATGTCAATTTTGATTCCAAAAGAAAAGTGCTTTCATCTACTCAGATGCATTTTTCAGGGCACGGCATTCACCAGATTTATCAGCTGGAATAATACTATAAAGAGATGCTCCTCTCATCTACCACCTGGCTACCAAGTGGCACAGATCCTATAGGATCAGCTATCTGCTTTTTTCAAGATAATGGTTTCCTATTATTCTCTGACGGTGACCAATTACTTTTTAAATATCATTTATGATCATTATGTTCTTGATTTGTACGTATTGAATGGTATCTACCCACTGCATTTTGTATCTTTATTGAAACTCAAATTGTTCTACCTTTGGCCAGTCAGAGCCTCTTAAGGGTGGCTCCTGTGTCCTTTAATATGATCCATGTCGACTTTAGTAGCCATCTTGCTCTCTGTTAGGACGAGATCTTCTACGCTCTTCTGTGCATTCCCTGTCCCAGACCTGCAAACCATCTTTTCTCCAAGGAGCCCTGGTTTCTTTAAGTGGGAGATGATAGTGCAAGGACATGTGGTTGCCAGGAGTGCTTGTCGCTACTGGGGTGGTCATTGCTTCTAGGCTTTTTCTGTGCATAGATGAGATGAACTTCATTGAGTTCAAGTTAATATTTCCAATTCAGATTCAAGACTTGGGGATTTTTACTCGTCTTCTTCTCTATTACATATCTTTCTTTCACACTGAGCATCCTGATTCTGAAAGACATGGGAGATGATAGAACTACAGTGTCACTAAATTTCTCACATGGTTTATCCAGATCATGGGCAGAAGAGTCTCCGCATAACAATACCAATACGACTAGCACCCAGTAGAAAGACCAAGAGCAGTTAAAAATTTTGTTTGCACATGTTCTCCACCCACCCCCAGCCCTGGTTATTTGTGGTTGTGTTCCAGCTACACTCTCAGCACATAGTCATATGTTCGCTCCCTTTTAACTCTCATTTTGTCTTAGTTCTCAAATATGTACACACTTGATACTCATCATTAGGCCTCAGGCCAATATCTAGTAGTTCTGTTGTCTAGGCGCATTCTCTGCTAGATCCAGGAAGGGCTACGGGGGCAGCATTTCCTGAGTTCTTGCCTGCCGATGACAGTCTGTCATACTTGAGACTCGAATTGTAGTTTTTGTGACCTATCCTGTTTGCTTGTTTTGGTTTCTTTATCAAGGGCTCTTATTGTTTGCATGTTGGATCTTCTTTGTCTATCTTAAATATTTGTCATTTTCTCTTGAATCTTGTTACCTCTTGATTTCTTTTTGAGTTTAAAAAATTTTCTCCATTCACTTTCTAGTCCTCTGAAGGTATTATTTGTTGTTTTTATTCACTCTTCTATTCCCTCTGGTTCAGTTTTCATTTCTGAAGTAACTTTTTCCCCATATATTTCTAATTCTTTCCTGAGGTCTGTCACCTCACTTAGGAGTTTTAAAAATTGTAATTTATTGGGGCACCTGGGTGGCTCAGTCGTTTAAGCGTCCAACTCTTGATTTCAGCTCAGGTTGTGATCTCAGGGTTGTGAGATTGAGCCCCATGTGGGGCTCTGCATTGGGCAAGGAACCTGCTTGAGATTCTCTCCCTCTCTCTCTGCCCCTCCCCCCACTCATGTGCTCTCTCCCTCTGGGAAAAAAATGGTAATTTATTTGTTTCTTAATGTTTTATGCTATTTCCTTAATGTCTTTTAGTTAGTTTTGAAATAGTAGATGACAGATTTTATCTGTTTTATGAGCACACTTTCATTGTATATAAAGGGGTTATCCTGCTCCTTTCTCTTTTTAAAATAAGAGCTTTGGGATTTTACTAGGAAATTTCTCATTTTTATGTGAAATTCATTTTTTCAAACTTTTATAAGGAAGGGTGGTTCTTTAGAATTGTGTTTAAATATACGGCAGTTTTCTTTTGGGCGTTTCTGGGCTCTGTTCCCCTGCACCATTTTGTTCTAGACTTTCTCTTTGTCTCTGTTGACTCTGTCCTGATTAATTCTGATTCCACTCCTATCAGCTTTTCTCTAGTGTGGGGCCTTGTCCTAGAAGACGGCCCCAGCGGGTCAGTTTCAGAACTTACTGTGGACCCCTTATTCTTACCCACTATTGGGGTAGGAACAGGCTCCCCTGGATTCCAGCTGTGGTGCCCGATTGTGCTGCTTTTCTTCCCAGTGAATACTTTTTAGCTGTTTTGAGGTTCTCCTGTTCTCAGGTGTTTTAGTGCCCCTGTTGCTTCCTTTGTCTTCCTCTCGCATAGACACTGGTACCATGTGGTGGTGTTGCTACTATCACCTGTATTTTGGAGTTTGAAGGGATTTCTCTTCTGATTTGGGGTTTGAGGGGAATCTCCTCACCTAGTTTTCTTGCTGATGTTTTGATATGTTTTTTATTTTGCCATTGGCTTGCTCTAACTATTTTTGTGTGGGAATTCTGAAAGATGCAGACTGTACTTCCACTATTACTGTCATATCCTCCCAGTCATGATATAATTGCAATGGGGGATCAATACAGAAAAAAAAGAAAGATGGTATAAAGTAAAATCACAATAGAGAATATATGTACTGCTATTGAGTAATTTAGGAAAAATAATAACACATTAACCTGAGAGTGGATAGGACAGCAGAGTTCATCAATACATAGTAATTTTGTAGTAATATGAAACAATTTAAGTGGGAGATGATAGTGCAAGGACTATGGGGTTATTTAAACAGTTTTGAATGGTGAAATTTAAATAGAGTTTCTTTCTTCATTTCTTGTCCCATTACAGACTGCATCCCTCCAGCCCGACAGATATTTTCTCCTTGTCCTGCTTAGACAGAATCACAGAGCTAATGGCCAGGGACACCGTTAAATGGTCTTGACGACCAAATAGACACCCGAGAGCCTGTGTTTAGTGAGTTTGCATGTTAGCTTTCATGTGTCATGGTGTCTAAGGAACACTTTCAAAAGCATGACCCAGAATTTCTCAAGCTAGCAACCGTTGACAGCAAATTCTATTCCAGATCATGAAGAATGGTAGACATTATTCACACTTTATATTATCTCCCCAAATATATACTGTTGTACATTAAAGATGTAGATTGAGCTCCCACTTTATGCTCAGGTGTGTGTACGCTGTGTACAGGGAAACATAGGAGTGACCAAAGGGACTTCTGGTCTCTGGGGTGTGGACTTGTTTCCCAGGGGTGTTCACTGGGCCAACCTTGGCATCACTCCTGCAGATTAATTTCTGTAATGCAAAAATGTTTTTTAGAATCACATCAACTTACCCCTTAAAAATTGATTCTTGAAAAATTCCCCCAAAACACACGCAACCACTTGAAACTATGGTAGCCCCCAAGGCTAGAACAAGTGGTTAGCCCGGAGTTAGGGGCTCACAACCATAGGTTTGGTGGGTATTCTTCCCCTAGCGTACTTGTTTGCTGTCATTTCTTATGTGATTTTAACTAAATATCAACTCATAGATGAACCTGGTAGTCACATTAAAATCAAAAGAGGTTTATTTTAGATTCAGTTACTGCAAGCAAAGATTGCTGTTTAAATAAATGTTATTATAAATCCCTTTCTTCTTTAGTCTTTTATGTAAAACAAATAAGCAATTTGCTGATTTATCTTTTCTGTAAATTGAGAATTTTATACATCGGCTTTGCTTAAAGTGAGGAGATCCAGCACTTGGACGGTTGCTAAACAGATCACACTCCATTACATAATCCATATATAGGCACACATTGTAGTATTTATAAAACAGCATGTGCTATCTTGTTTTTTTTTTTTCTCTCTGTCTTTTTAAATCCCCTTTTGCCACCAGATTATAAACCTTTTGAAGGCAGTGATTGTGTCTTTTATGTCTCTGTTTTCCCATCAAATGTTTACTAAAGTATATAGTGATGGTGACATGCTGGTGAAATGTGGGAGATATTTCAGGGTGGTACTGAAACATTGTTGGATATAATCAATCAGTTGACTACTCTGTGTGCGAAGATCTGGGAAGACAAAAAGACAATAATAATACATATCCTTGAGAGATAATCTCATTGGAAAGATAAAAATATATATATAAACATTAACAAGGAATTGCCACATTATTTAGATGTCAAATGAAGTTGATATATTGTGTTCTTTGTAAAAATATTTAATTTATAAAGTTTTTTTTTCTTTCCACTGAACCAATACCAGTTGTTTTTTAGTCCTTTTTCCCCTTTTTCTTTCCACATATTTGACAATCTCTAGTAAGAAGATATTGATTATAGCTACTTTCACCGTCTGACATATTTTTAACATCAGTATAATTTTCTGATCATATTCCTTGCCTAGGAAAGAGAATCTATAGAGAGACAATATGAGACAGCCCGGCAGGCCCTGATGGGAAAGATACCTCCTCATCATACCCTCCTGTTTCAAAGGTAATGATATATCACATTTATTTATACCTGGGCATCTTTAGATTGATTCTCTAGTATCCAAATATACCAAATGAATCATCAATGTGAACAGGGGCCTCTGTACTAAAGTGGACCCAGTGATTCAGTAGTAAACCTAGTTCTAGAAGTTTTATTTTCCTTTCATTTATATATACTTTAAAAAGACATAATGTGTTCATAGCGGTTAGAAATTGATGGCTTTTTTTTTTTTTTCATTCTTTGAAGCCTATAAAGAATGGTATTTCTGGTGAAATTTGAATATATATATCTGCCTTCTCCAAGGCTGTTCATGACTGAGGGTTCATTATATCCTATTGTATATCTTGCTGTTGTCCATCATGACTCTCAAAACAATAGTAATTATGTGCAAAGTCATTTGTTTAAAGCCTCCTTTCCATATTAAACTAAATTCCATGAGGGTGGGAATCATTGTATCTTTATTAACCTATGAGTTCTCTATTCTTAATATGAAAGTTTTTACTTAGTTCTTCTGTATAGTAAAGGCTTCATGAAGTTAGTGGCTATAATAATTACTGTACTATTAATTATTACATATCAAGAGGCACATTTAGGCTTTAATATTTACTCAAAATGAATAACTAGGTCACAGTATAGCTATAGAATGTTTGCATTTTATTTTCTCATTAATGTTATAGGCTTTGATATTCTGAATTCTCTTTCCTGTGTCACATTTTAGAAAATTTGAGTAATACAGTGAAGTCCCTGTTTTCAGAAAGCTAGTAAGAACATGACAAGACCTTAATTATAGCATTTTAAAAAGCTTTTTAAAATGCAGTGATTCAAGGAAGCAGAATAAAGAAGCCATTTAAATTTTTTTTTCAATTTCAGCTCTTTTTATTGTCTGTAATTTTAAGCTATCTGTTGAAAATCTTCATCCAATATAAATGAAACCAAGTTTTGTCACTTTGTTACATATCCAAAAAGTGTGATGAGTTTTCTCCATATTGATAAGCTATCTTTGGATAGTCTGATTCAAAAGATAGGCTGTGTGGCATACACAGAGTTCTGCTGAAGGGCCAGGAAGGTGATGGCCAGGAGATAGGCATTGTCTTCCAGAGCAGCAAAGCTGGGGTCTGTGTGACCTCCGACCAGCAGCAGGGCCATGCTTATTAAAACACTGGGGACAGAGAACCGAAGCAGTTTTAAATATGAGCTCCAAATGGGTCATACCAGGACAGATAGACGCTTCGAATTTGCATGCATTTATATGCAATTGGGCTACTTTGCACACAGCAACTCTGTTTAGCAAGTCTGAGGTGAATAGCGACAGGATTTTTTCACTAAAAATGGTTAATGATTCTTCCAAGTCACTCTGGGGAAACAGGCTAGTAAAGATGAAAAAAGAATAGTTTACACTGGAGTTCAGTTGAGAGTATAATATTAGAATTTTTAGAAATATTTTATTCTGGTATCATTTCAAAGCACTGGATTAGAAACAAAATTCAAAAATATCTATTTCAATTTTTATAGCAGTTGATACATTGCTGGACTCACATAACAAATGGACTAGAGTTTATAATAGAATACACAGAATACATACTAATCAGTAGGAAGATAATTTGCCTATATTAGTGACTTAATGGATAAGGAAGATTCAAAACAATACAAATTCACCTAATCTACAAATTAGAATGTAATAATGCTGGTGTTTTAAGACAAGCTCTGGGATAAATGTTGAGTGGATATATTACATTATTCCAAATAGATTTTATTGGCATTTACATTATGTGGGTATATCAGTCAGTATTTAGGTATTTAGGTATTACATGTGTGTATGCTTGGTATCATTACAAAATTCTTTGTTTTTTTGTTTGGTTTTTTTCTGATTTCAGGGGTCCGGTGCCAGCACCTATTATCAATGGTCTACATTATTTTACAGCTTTAGAATTACAGAAAAGTTTTGAGCTTTGTGAAGATTTTAAAGCTCCCATTGGACTGTATTCTGAGAAAAGGTGAGTTGAGTTTTGTCAAATAAAATCAGTTATTTTCTGCTGATTAGCTAAGATCACAGCACTCCTCCCTAAGCTTCAGAGAAATCTTAAAACTGGGGAACAGGGCCCCACCTTCCACCATGGACTTTGAAGGGAGTAGATCCTGGCCCTCCAGGGAAGACACAGGCATATATCCTGGGTTCATCCAATTGAAAGCTTCTCTCTGGGATTTTGAATCTTGAGGGAGTGACACAAAGATGCAAGGGCAGTTAGAGATCCATCAAGACACCGGTAATGGAAGATCAAGAATCCATTGTGGAGGGCAAGCAGTGATGATCTCTTCCCGTATTGAGACCTGGCTGTCTGTGTTCTTGGCACCTAGCTTACTTTGGTTCCTGCCCAGTTTATAGGTCTCATTCTTCAGTTTTTCATTAGTCTATAAACTACACGAAAGCTTTTCAGTAACTCCTTTTCAGGTATTAAAATGAGCCAGAGTTGGTGTTTGTAATTTGCAATTATCATCTCTGATTAGTATAGCTTTGTGTTTCTAAATGTTTACCAGCTGGTGTCTAATATACAAAAGGGCATTTCAGGGTTCCAGTGCTTAATATATCAAAGTGTAGTTCAAAAGCTGAGTAGGTGTTAAGCTGAAGACCGCATATAGACCACAGCTGACACTCCACCACTGATTTTAGTGCTTGGCCTTTGCAGGCTCTCTACTACATTCTGTTCCTGCTTCTGCTGTGTTTACTTCTGAATCCATGGCAACATAATAGACAAGAAATGGTACTGGAATGAAGTGCACTAGAATATTATTAACGGGAGATTTCTCTAGAAATATCAGTTATTTTTATTTTCTTCTTTATCCTTTTTTTGTAACTTGTAAATTGTCTTTACAGGATATATATTTTATTTTTATATACTAAAAAAAACTAAGAATCCATGATGGTTTGATGAAATATTTAATAAATGGAAAAAAATGGCCCTTTAGATACAATTAAGTTTCTCACATCACTCTACATGTTAAAACAAATGTTAAAGTTATAAGGCGTTAAATACAATCAATGCCTATGATATAATAATAAGTATGGAGATTGAGATACATATGTATATCCAGTGTAATTAGGTTTAAAAATATTCATGTGTATGTATAGGAAAAAAAATACTGAAAATACACCAAAATAGAATCAATTATTATCTTGTAGTGATGAGATTATGACCAATTTTTATTTCTTTGTTCTTCTCCCATATTTTCAGTGGTGAATATTTAATAATTTTTGAAGTATTAATGTCACTTTAAAAAGTTATCTTAAAGGTCTGCCACAGCAAAAGGATATTTTTTGATGGCATGTGTCATAAGAATGACAGTTTAAAAAATGAGTGCTGTTTTCCTTTATTTCTGAGTTTTATTGCTGTAGCACTTGGATTTCCTCCCATAAACTTGATGATGAAAAATAACCTTGCCTTCTAAGGGGTTCCTTCAAGCCTACCATTTCACTAGCTACTAGAGGCCCTAGTATTCTAGTTAGTATTCTAATTAGTATTAATATTCAATATTAATTGAAGGGAGAAGGATAGATACATTCAGACCATAACAGAGAATTAATATGCTTAACAGGCCACACTGGGTTTATACATCATCTGTCCCCACGGTGAAAAGGGGGGGGGGTCAGACCTACCCTCAAATCTGACCATTCGCTGGTGGTAACGTATATGTGTCTTTTAACTCTACCACTTTTTTACATCTGTCTTTCAAAGCATTTTCATTTAATACTTTCTCTGATAGAAAGGAAAAAGTAATTGTTGAAAGACAGACCTTGTTCTGTGACTCCCCCCACCTTTTTTTTGGTGTGTGCTTTAAATGAAGACCTACTGTCTTTTTCAAAAATAAGAGACCAGAACATGTGTTATGGGTTGAGTTGTGCCCCATCCCCGCCCCACCCCCTGCCAAATTCACCTGCTGGAGTCCGTCCCTTCAGAATGTGACCTTATTTGGAAATAAGGTTGTTGCAGATGTAATTAGTTAAGATAAGGTCATACTGGAGTAAGGTAGTATGGTAGACCCCTAAACCAATATGATTGGTGTCCACATAAAAAGGGGAAATTTGGACACAGACACGCGCACCGCAAGAGGGCTTGGGGTGATGTAGAAACCAAGGAGCACCAGACTGCCAGCAAACCACCAGAAGCTAGAGGAGAGGCCTAGAATAGCTTCTCTGTCACAGCCTTCCGAAGGAACCAAACCTGCTGACACCTTGATCTTGGACTTACAGACTCTAGGACCGTGAGACATTAAATTTCAGCCACTCAGTTCACAGTACTTTGCTACACCAAACCTAACAAACTAATATGTATTAAAAATCCAGTGACATTTTTCTTGCTATTTTCTTTCTGTGCTCCCTTCAACATACTATCTTGGTATTACTTTAGAGATTTAGCCATACAATCTATGGATTGTTGTGTTTTTTAATTAAAAGAAGGAAGAAAACTTTATGCTTCTATAGTTTGGAATAGAAGGTCTAGCCCATAAAACATAAATGCATCTAACGTTGTATTTAGCAGAACAAGATTCAGTCTAGTATACTCTGGAGAGAAGCTCCCAAGCAGGATTACTAATGTCACTTGTCCACTGCAAGAGGAAAGAGCTGTTCAGTCACTGAGAAATCCAGAAGTTGGCAGTATTGGTCTCAGTTCTTTAGGAAGTGCTTCTTAGACAAACTCAATTACCTTATGTGGGAGCAAGAGGTTGGAAAACAAAGTCTCCTAGGATCATGGTATTCTACCTGAAGGGGGACTAGTATTCTGTGAAGGGATTCCAAAAATTGTTGTCTGACAAAAAGAGACAAACCCAAGAACTCAGTCCAACCTGGTATGAGGGATTCCCTCCTTCCAATGAGCAATTCAATTTAGAAAAATTGAGATAGATAGAATAACTGTTGATAACAAGTACTCAAAGCTTCTTCTCTCTTTTTTTTAAGATTATTTATTTATTTGAGAGAGAGAGAGAATGCACAAGCAGGGCACACGGGAGAGGCAGAGGGAGAAGCAGATGCAGACTCCCCACTGAGCAGGGAGCCCGATGCAGGGCTTGATCCCAGGACGCTGGGATCATGACCTGAGCCGAAGGCAGACGCTTAACCGACCGAGGCACCCAGGTGTCCTTACAAGTACTCAAAATGTCTAAGCAGAACCCTAGCTGCAGGGAGATTGCTCAATCCTGGACTGTCTCTGCCTGGGAATGTTGGTGCCATCGAGCCCTAGTTGTAGTTGATAGGTTGAGCAGAAGGCAGGTGTCCATGCCCAGTGTGGGAGCTTTCCAGGAGAGCTGATTTTGGATTCCAGCCATGGGCTACCACCCACGAACTGCAGCTTCTGCTTGCCATTCAGACATAACCCAGACAGCATGAGTGTCCTCACATTGGACGTGTCCCCTCAGTATGCCTACATCACCCACTACATTTCCTCCTGGGTCAAGGACAAGCCCAGATAGCTAATTGGACTGTGTTTCCTAGTAATAGGGCCTTGAACTCCTGGGGACAGCTCATTAAAACTTGCTTCTACCCTTTTCATCTCTGCTACAGTCATAATATCATCCTGGTAGACAGAGACACCCTCATTAAATGACAAGCTTTATCCTGAATAGACCCGATTTGCATCAGCCTTTGCTACTGCAAAGATATGAACTTAAGTTAAATGTGGAGTGTGAACAAGTGGAGGTCAACCTGAACTTGACATTTGATCCCAGAAATGTACTTCTGTGCTGAAATAGTAGTCATCGTGTTGGAACTACAGGGAAGAAAGTGTAATCACTTTCAACCACCGGGCTCTGCAGTAAACAATTACCTCTTAATTTTCAACATTTTAAATTAATCTTTGGCTAAATCATGAAAAGACAACACTCTGACGACAAAACTTACTGTAATTAACACTGGCAGTGAAAAGTAGAGCTCTAATGACAAAGTTGAGGAGGTAGAGGTGGAAAGTCAACATGCATCATCTGTTGTTGATGGAACAAGAAACGCAGGATTGAAATACGATACATGAAGGTGTAGATCTGACAGATGGAGGAACTGAAAACAGTGATAGGGCTCTTTGGGGGAGGAAAAACAGGGGGAGTGTTATTAAGTGAGCTGAATCCTTTCTGATGATAGCAGACATCCATATCTACCAAAGATCGACTTAAAACTGGTAAGTCAATAAAAGCCAGTAACGTATTATTTACAAATAAGATTATTGTCAGAATATCTAAAAACAGACGTGGTTAAAAATGGTTGACTCTCAGGGTGCCTGGGTGGCTCAGTCATTAAGCGTCTGCCTTCAGCTCAGGTCATGATCCCGGGGTTTTGGGATCAAGCCCCGCATTGGGCTCCCTGCTTGGCGGGGAGCCTGCTTCTCCTTCTCCCACTCCCCCTGCTTGTGTTCCCTCTCTCGCTGTGCCTCTCTCTCTGTCAAATAAATAAAATCTTAAAAAGAAAAAATGGGGCGCCTGGGTGGCTCAGTTGGTTAAGCGACTGCCTTTGGCTCAGGTCATGATCCTGGAGTCCCTGGATCGAGTCCCGCATCGGGCTCCCTGCTCGGCAGGGAGTCTGCTTCTCCCTCTGACCCTCCCCCCTCTCATGTGCTCTCTCTCTCTCATTCTCTCTGTCTCAAATAAATAAATAAAAATCTTTAAAAAAAAAAAAAGATTGACTCTCAGGAGAGTACAAGTGGTGTTGGGAGAGGTAGGGCTTGGATTGCTGCTTTTTATTATAAGCTCTTCTGCATAATAGAATTTAGTTTTAATTATATGTATAGACAGTTAACCCTTGAACAACACAGACTGGAACTGCATGGGTCCATTTATAGACGGGTTATTTGCAGTACAGTGTACTGCTGTACCATAAATGTATTTTCTCTTCCTTATGATTTTCTTAATAGCCTTTACTCTATGTTCCTTTATTGTAAGAGTAAGAATACAGTATCTAATACATACAACATACAAGATATGTGTTAATTAACTTATGTTGATTGAATCAACTTATATATACCGATATTTGTTATCGGTAAGGCTTCCAGTCAACAATAAGCTGTGAGTATTTAAGGTTTTGTGGAGTCAAAAGTCATATGTGGATTTTTGACTGCAGGGAGGGTCAGCACCCCTAACCCTCCCTCACATGGCTTAAGGGTCAACCCCAGTAAGTTGCTTAAAATATTAATGAAATGTTTTTGGAGAAATAAGAAAAATCACAGAGGGAAAAGTGAGTACATTTTGACTATATAAACATCTTCAGTTTCTCTAGGTCCAAAACAAATGTAAAAGGAAAAACAGCAGGCTATTTAAAATGTAACAAAAGAGTCAACATTCAATATATAAAGAGTTCACACAAATTGATAGAGCAAACAGGAAGATAGATCCTCCAAAGGTAAATGAGGGAAAGACAGTGTACAAATGACAGGAGAAAAGCTAAGTAATAAATGAATAAACTTAAAGATTAAGAAATAATGTTTAATCTTGCTGTGAACAAAGCAACAAAGCCCAATTACTTCACAGTGCTCTGCAGGATGAGCCTCTCCCCTCTGGTCCGTGAAGCTGCCCCCCACCCCCCCCACCCCCCGCCGGGAGCTCCGAAGCCAAGAAGCAGGTGAATCCCAAAGGAGAGTAACCTGGTGGCAGGAAGTGCACTGGGCCAAACACAGGGATGTTGGGCACGCTAATCACACCCGAACCTTATCCTAAAAGGGGAATAAAATCACAGTCCCCAAGACTCTCATTAGGTTTGCCCAGTGTGTTGTCCTAATACGTTTTCATATCCTCTGTCCTTGAAATAGCAGGAGATGCCATATGTAAATTGCACTCAATTCTAAAGTCCTGGGCATTAGTATCTGTGCCTTACTCATCTTGTGTACGCTCCAGCATCCATCACGATGCTTTGCCCTTAGTAGGTGTTCAGCTATGTTTTGTCGGTTGGAGGAGAGGTTTATGCTAATATGTACAGCTTTGACTATGCCCAGTGCTGTGTAACTCCTGCCGCAGGTACCGCTGAATGCTTGAGCTCAACAGAGACGGGCACAGGCCACTGACACGGCTCCGGAAAGGTGACCCGGTGCGGTCACAGGTGTAGATCGTGTGGCGCTCGGGAGCTTGTCATCTCAACGGGATCATGCACTTTTTGTTTTTCAGCGGCAAGGATTCCCACCTTACCAAGAACTATTCTACCGTATTTCATTCTTATCCATGGTCAAAAGAAATGGCTTTTCAGCCTCCAGAGGGCAGCGTCTATTCCCGCCCGGGATCAGGAGTGAGTGATAGTGAGGCCGATCAGGCCCTAAAAGGTATGTGTCATTTTACATACGGTTCTCATATAAATATTAATATCATAATTATATCTATTTCCCACTGTTTCCTGATTTTTTTTTTTTTAATTAAATGAGTGTTTTAAGTCAGACTCTCTCCTCTGAGGTAGGGTGGGTTTTTTGTCTCCCATTGTTTAGAGATGAGAAACGAAGTTCAGAAAGGTCGGGAATGTGCCCAAGGTCACTTACTTAGGCCATTTAGAATGGGCTTAGAATAGGCTGCTGTTCTGCCCACTGAGCCACTCTGCTGGCAGGGGTCTTCCCAGGTTGCGGGGCACGTGCTCTCCGCAGGAGGTCTTTGAGGACTTGGGCTCCATTCAGTGAGGGTGAAGAGAAGCCTGGAAGGTTTCCGATTGCTGGCCCATCTTCTGCCCTGGGAGTCTGGCCGAATCCCGTTGGTTTTAGATTGAAAGGATCTGGCCCAGCCTAGCCACGTCACCCCCTTCATGCCCCTTGCTCCTCAACACACAGGTGAGTGCGTATCTCCAGGCCCCGACAAGAGGGGCATTGCATTTTTGTCTCTGGGCATACTAGGGGTGTTCACAAATGACAGCGAGTAAAGACCTTGCACAGTGTTGTGGAGACTGAAGGGCTAGTGGTGAAAGGAGAGAGAACGGGAGAAAGTAACCCGGTGTTGGGATAGAAGGTGGGGCTCTGTGAGCAATGGAAAGAACAATGAGTAACTTGGAGGATTCTGTAGGACCTGCAGGCTAACAGGGAGCCTCCATTTATAGCCTGGGTGGGTGGTGAAGTTCTGCCTGAGCCCAGAGGGGAGGTGAGGACCCCCTCCTTAGGGTGACCAGGGGAACCAGAAAGAGAATAAAGACTTGTTAGTTTGCCAGGGACAAGAGGACACAGTGGTTGGCATGTCCAGAGGCAGGTTCCTAAACAGGCAGCTTCTCGCCAGCTCAAGGGTGGAGGACTCTCTCTTCAGCTGTACTTACGTTCAGGACAGCCGGCCAAGATAAGGTGTTTTCAAGCATTTTACTTGTGAGGGTGGACACAGACGGTAAGGATTAGAGTCCCAAGACCAAAGTTCCAGGAGTCATCCCAGATTCTGAAGTAGACACTTTCTGGTCATCTCACCAGTTGTGGGGAGTGTTCTAGGAACCCCTTAAAGACTGTGACCTGCCACTTAGGAGCCTGAGGACAAAACTCCAGGAGCTCTGGACCAAATGTGTCACCAAGGCCCACCGTGGTTCTGGTGTCCCATAGGACAGTGTTTCCAGACCTTTCGCATCTTATTTTCTGTTCTCTTGTACCCTTCCTTCAATGGGATACTTAGAGTCAAAAACTGCATTCCAAACAGTCTGACCAGAGTGGAAGTGGGCTGTTACCTGTGAAAAGAACATTGTATTCAAAATCAGGAGACCAGGTTCTAGCTCCATTTCTACTTTTGTCTGACTGCATAGTGTTGGGCATATCAGATCATGTCTGAGCCTTGAGAATGATATCTGTCCTACAGTAATATAGCAACGTCCTATACCACCATATATTACATTATAATATACATGTATAATATTACATATTATAATGTAATATATGGTATTATCTAGAACCAACAAGATGGGGTGTGGTGTAAGAAAGAAGAAAGAAGTCAGGTGCTAGATACCTACTCGGTATTATAAATTTGTATACACATAAGCAGAAGATGGTGGTAGTTTTCTGCAGGGATGGTTTCTAGAGATTTATTTTGTTCCTTTGAATGAGCCATGTTTTCCTGTTTCTTTATGTGCCATGTGATGTTTTGACATCACATTTGAAAAAGCAGCCACCTCTCCAAGTGTGCAGGCCGCCCCGGCTCTTGTCCTGAGCCCAGGGTCAGTCTAGTGTGAAGGCTTAAGGTCTCTCCAGTCCTTTTCTGGGCGTGTACTTTTCCTGGACCTATGCGTATGCTTTTTTCCAATTCCCCAGCATACACAGCCACTTTTTAAAGTCTTCACTTCCCTAACAGTCTTACCCTAGCTTCTTCTTGGGACCTTATGAAGATGTTCTTTTGTCCTCTTCAATTAGTAATGTCTTGCCCCAGGCGTTCGTAGTTCTGGGTCTTCACTAGCCTTACCCGCTTCTTCCTGCAGCTTCAGCTGTGTGGGATCCCAGCCGTGTCACTCGTGGCCCTCTGAAACCTGAGTTAGGGGACACAGAGACCCATCAGGCAGCCCCCAGGCAGGTTAGCACAGTGCTCTACTCTCTCTGGTTGGCAAAAAACCCTGAAATTTCCTCCTGTTTTTAAAATGTGGCTTTTTCTTGATTGGGCATTCGCTTGGTTGCTAGGGCTCTTTCACTGAGCTCCTACAAGGTTGTTTCAGTTAGTCTCACTGTTCAGTGTTTGTACAGGGGAGCGAGGGCCTGGAGCTTCCCAGTCTGCCGTCTTGCCGGTGTCTCTCAGGGGTGGTTTGCTTAGCAATAGGTCACACGACTGGCTCCGGGTCAGTTAAGCTCACCTGTCTTTTGCACACGAACTGCCAAACCAGGTTTCCGTCATCTAACACATAGGCACTTGATTTTCTTCTTATGTGAGGGCAGCTTTTATTTTCTTCTTTTTATTATTTTGGTTTCAGCCCCACATTCTAGTTTAATTCGATCATTTGGGTGTTGGTTCATCCTCCATATTTACAGTTTTATAACTTTCTGTAAAACCAGCAAGCATGCTACCTATGCCTTTGTCCTAGTCCCTGCCAACAGTAGGATCCAGGACTTGGCTGAGAGTAGTGTCCTGTGACAAGTCTTCGGGGACTCAGTTCCAGGGAGAGCCTACTTGCCATGTGATTTCTACTCATATCTCTCTAGTGTCCTTATGTAAGAAACTTTGATACGTGCCTTGCAGAAATCAAGACAAGACTATTTCAGTGGTGCATTCTAACTCAGAGGTCAGCGTTTTCTGTAAAGGGCTAGAGCCTTCTGCAGTGACTCAACCCTCCCATTGTGGTGTGAGAGCAGCCACAGACAATATGTAAATTAGCTGTCATAGCCTGGGTTCCAATAACTTCATTTACTGAAACACACTGCAGACCAGACTTGGCCTATGGGCTATACATTTGTTGACTCCTGCCCAAATAAAAGGGAAATTAAGTTAATTTGAAATAATTAATTTGACATAATTTGCAAACTCTTTCCAACACTTATCACTCGCTATGGTGTTTTATAAATGCGCAAACCACTTCTTTCACAAACTTGAATTTGCTAAGGTTTGAGGTCAAGTGCACTAGTTTGTAAATCTTTGTTCCCATGTTTCCTTTGTTCTGCATGTTCCAAGCAGTGTCCTTTGTCTCCTGTACTTTTCTTGCTGTCAGTGAGCTCTCCAAGACCAAACTCTGAAAGCACTTCTGTAGTTTACTCCAGCACCCTGGGATTCAACTTACCTGGGTGTGGAAACTTGAACTGATTTAGAAAGGAGGCCTACTCTTCCACTGTCTTTTTTCTTCTTCAGGGCCTTCCTTCTTTTAAGATGTTTTTGTTACCCTTTCCAGTTTGAAAAACATCTCCATGGTAGAGGGGAAAAAAAGAAGCACCAGCAGCAGCAAACAAGGGGGAGCTCTTCATTTTCTTCTCTCTTTTTTTTTTTTGTCCCATAGTATCATCTCATGGAATGTGCCCTTTTTGCTCTGATTATACCTTTAAAAGGCCCATTTCCCTTCATGATTCAGATTGCTTCTGTTTGCCTGATAGATGGAGTCTTCCTAATCTTATGGTATGGGTCACTCCATTTTTTCTCATTCTCTGTAGAATCCTCTGCCTCACTTCCTCAATCCCTGCTACACTCCTTCTCCCCAGGGAGAATTTGGCTTCCTCTGTGGCCACTCTGTGCTCTACCTTCAGTCTCTATCTTTCAAACTCTTCTTGCTGCCCATAGTCCCCAGTGGAACTTTATGGTACATCCTTGGTGTCTTCATCCTTGGTGAACAAACCAACCTTAGAGCACAGTGGATGAGGCTTTTCTAGGAGGGACTTTAGGATATATATGGGTGCATGTCTGTGTGTGTGTGTGTGCACACACACGCGTGCAGTAAGCCAGGTTAGGTATGATTGTAAAAGAATATGGTCCCAGGCATCATTACAGAAGGTATGAGCGGGATAGAAAAGTAACATGGGATTACTTGGGGTTCCAGCCTTCTGATCATTGGGCAAGTCTACACAGCCTAAGGCTCATCCAACCCTGCACATGATGTGTTTTGAAACTCATCCCCTATTTTTCTTGTTTGGATGTCTTTTGTTCCCTTTAGTTTGTTATGAATTAATTCTAAACAATATTCTGGTGCTTACAACATTGCAATGTTTATTTTCTCTGTAAACAAATAAATCTCTTGTGTACCAGGAGGTTAACTCTATGTACTGTCTTTTTTTTTTCTTAATGTCTTACAGAGCTATGTAAACAGCCAATTCCATGTGACAAAGGGTCTGTCCAACACAGAAGACACACGGTCTCAGTCATCAGCCACCCAGGTTTCAACACCAAACTCATCCTCCCTCCAATCCCTCAGGGCCGCAAGTAGACCAGTAGCTGACATTTGGTCTTAACACACAAAACTTGTTCTGATCAATGTCCAATCCCTTTGTCTTACCTGGCCATGGATCCTGTTTCCCACTCAACCAACTACCTACAAAAGAAATGTTCTACATGCCTTTAATTCTCTCAATCAATTTTTTTTTTGTGATTCCAAATAGTGTCTTTTTAAAATGTAAATTATTCTTAGCTTTTAGAAATGTAATTTCAGTTTTTCTCATAGCTCTTAATGATTTTTCCAACTGTTTCCTGCTCTGAAATATCAGACGGCAAACTCTCCCAAGATCTCTGCATTGCTGTGTGGATAGTGATTTTTGGATATATCCAACTGGGATTCTGCTTTTGAAATTTCAGTGTGTCCATTTATAACATTAGTGTATACCCTGGGGTACTGAAATATTTTGTTGTTCTGATTATGAAAGGATTGTAGAGTTCCGTTTAACTCGTGACCAACAGGATCTCGACTGCATCTCTCAAAAGGAATTAATTAATGTATTTTTTCATGGTTCTTGAGTTCCTCTAGCAATATGAAGGAATAAGAATTATCAGATATTTCTTTTAGTTCACCCTTTCCTGACTCTGATTAAGTACTGCTTGTCATTAGAAATATTTTTAAACAACTTTCTTCATCTTTATAGTTTCACTACAGAAAAAAAAATTGGGTAGTTATTATAGATAAGGCTGGTATTCAGCTGATATGTGCCAGTAAGACTATCCTGGTTCTTAAAATATTGAAACACATCTCTTTGGACTGGTAGGTGGTCTCTTCTCTGAATCCTCTGTGCATGATGATTCATGGGAGCAAGAACCTTCACATAGTACTGTACTAATAGTTAAATATTTAAAATATTATAACCCTCTAATGACTTCCCTTTTAAAAATATTAAAACCCCCTTAAATAACCCTTTTTCCCATGATCAAATTTGGATGTAACATGATTTGCTATTGGCTTCTGCCTGCCACTTAGCCCTATTCTCAACAGAAGCTGCTTAAATTTCTTTTCTTGGGGTTGGTGGGAGGGGATGGAAGGGGGAAACCTGAAGAAAAGGACAAGTCTGAGCAGGAAAAGGGAGTTAGTCCTCTCTAGAGCAGTGAGGAGGCAGAGAGTGGGATACTTTAATATTCACCAGCATCATCTAATCTTTTAAGACGTTATTTTGAAATATTTTAGAAACACCAAAAGATATAAAAATAAGAGTTCCAATTTCAGACAACATGGAGGAAATGCACTTTCCCCTATTTCTTCCACTAAGTACAATCAAATCCTACAAATTGTATCTAAAATAAACATAAGAAGATTGAGAGGTAGAAGGAAGAAGGCAAGCCAGCTGGGGACCTTGGGACCTGAGTAGCAACACAGAGGTGAGTTCCCTGGGGTTTTTTTTTTTTTTTTTGGCTCAGCTATCCTGAACTGGGTGCTAGAGAAGCTATAACCTCAAAACATTAATGGTAAAGACCACACATCTCCAGCCAAAAGCTTGCACTGTCTAGCTAAAGGACTAGGAAAGGGGCAGCCTGGCAAGACAGAAAACGTTTAGACAATAACTGCCTTGCTTTGGTCAGACACCGTAGATGAAACTGTGGCTCCATCCTTTCTCTCTACCCTGTCAGCCAAGGCTTTTCTGGCTATAATGAGGTTCCCTCCTTCTCCCTGCTGGGATAGTGTCCGAGAAGTTCTTGTGGAGAGCCAGGACCTGCAACACTCCCCAATATTAAGAGGAACCCCCTCCCACAGTGTCATTGAAGGCTACATAGGGACCTGGACTTCCATTCCCAACCTGATAGTAATGAGACACTTCTTTCCCTTCCCATCAGGGTGGTGTCAGAGAAGGTCTTGTGGAGGTCCAGGACTTTCACCACTGACCTATCTTCTTGCAGTGTCAGTGGAGGCCAGGTGGGGAACAGAAAATTTAAATAAGATCCATATTCTTATAACATACTACCCCAAATGTCCAAGATATAGTTAAAAAAAAATTCATCAAGAATCAGGAAACTTTAACTTGAATGAGAAAAGATAATCAACATCTGAGCCAGGATGATGTCAGTGAAGGCCTAGTGGGGACCCTAAACTTCTACCCCACCCAGTATCAGTAAGGCATCATTCCCCCTTTTCCTACCCTAAGTGTCAAGAGAGGCCAAATGGAGAGTTTAGCTTTCCACCTCCGCCTGGGAGGAATGAGTCAGTGCCCCCTCCCCCACTAGCATGGTGTCGAAGAAAGTACGCCAAGATTTAAATAAGACTGACTTTCACAATATACTATCCCAAATGTCCAAGTTACAGTTTTTTAAAAAAAGAAAAACAAAACTCATCAAGAATCAGGAAGACTTCAACTTTAATGAGAAAAGATAATCAACATATACCAGTGCCAAGGTGAAACAGATGCTGGAGTGATCTGATGGATTTTAAAGTGGCTATCATAAAACTGATTCAAGAAGCAATTATAAACACAATTGAAAAAAATGAAAAAGACAGACAATCTCAGCAAAAAAAAAAGAAAAGAAAAGAAAATCTTAGCAAATAAATAGAAGATATAAAGAAGAACCAAATGGAAATTTTATACCTGAACAATACAGTAACTCGCTGGATGGACTCAGTAGTAAAATGGATAGGACAGAGCGGGAGAAAGTCGGTGAACTTGAAGACCAAGCAACTGAAATTGCCCAATCTGAACAACAGAAAGAAAATAGACTGAAAGACAAAATGAGCTCCAGGGACATGTAGGACTATATGGAAAGATCTGATGTTTATGTCATTAGCGATCCAGGAGAGCAAAAAAGAGTATGTGGCTGAAAAAGTATTCAAACAAATAATGACCGAAAATTCCCCAAATTTGGCAAAAGCCAAAAATCTACAAATTCAAGATGATGGAACCCAGACAGGAGAAACACAAATAAATTTGTAACAAGACACACCATAATCGAACTTTTGAAAACTAAGGACAAAGAAAAATATCCTAAAGCAATGAGAGAGAAAACATCTTCATTATACAGAAATAACAAATCAATTGATAATGGATTTTTTATCAGAAATCAGGGTACCACCAGAAACCATGGAAGTAGATCAACATTTTCTAGTGCTAAAAGAAAAAAAAAAAAACTGTTAATCTAGAATTCTGTGTTCAGTGAAAATGTCCTTCAGGAATGAAGGGGAAATCAAGACATTCTCAGGTAGAAGGAAAACAAAGAGACTATGTTACCAGCAGACGTATACCCTAAAGGAATGGCTAAAGAATGTTCTTGAAACAGAATGCAAATGTTAAAGAAGGACATTTGGAACAACAGGAAGGAAAGAGAAAAATAAAGTAAAAATATGGATTAATAGAAGTTTCTTTTCATCCTGAGTTTTTTAAATAAGGTTTGATGATTGAGGGAAAATTATAGCATCTGATGTGATTCTCAACATGTGTAGAAGTTACACATAATTTAAGGCAATTATAAAAAGGAATGAAAGGACTTAAAGGGAGGTAAGCTTTCTACATTTCTCTTGAACTGTTAAACTGTAGACTGTGTGATAAATCACATGAATAATGTAATACCTAGAACACCACTAACAAAGCTACTTTGTGAGATAAATCCAAGAAATACTATAGATAGATAAAAATGGAGTTTTAAAAACATTTCAGTGACACTGAGAAGGCAGAAAAAAGAAATGGAGAACTGAAAAACAAAAAAACAAAAGCAGCCTTAAGCCCTTATATAGTAGCAATTAACATTAGAGTAAACAGTCTAAATACACCAATTAAAGGCAGAGGTTGGCAGAGTAGATTTTAAAACATGACCCAATTATATGCTATCTACAAGAAACTCACTTGAAATTTAACAAGGTAAGCTGGTCAAAAGTAAAAGGATAGAAATGTGTTTGCATATATCATGCAAACATTAATCAAAAGGAAGCAGGAACGGTGATTAGTATCAGATAAAGTAGGCTTCAGTGCAAAAATTTTTACCAGAGACAGAAAGGTATATTACATAACAATGAGAGAAATTTTAACAAATTTAAAGAATTGAAATCATACAGCGTATGTTCTCTGACCACAATGAATCAAACTAGAATAACGGGAAGATAACAGAAAAATCTCCAAACATCTGGAAACAAACGACATACTCCTATATAACCCGTGGGTCTATGAGAAACTCTTAAGGAAATTTAAAAATACATCAAGCTAAATGAACGTGAAATACACCATATCAAAATTTGTGGGATGCAGCCAGGTCAGTGCTGAAAGGGAAATGTATAACACTAAATGCATACATTAGAAAAGTGGAGGATTTTTAAATCAAGAAGCTCTTAAGAATCTAGAAAAAGAGCAAAATAAACCCGCCGGCGGAGCAAGATGGCGGAGGAGTAGGAGACCTGGAT